TTATATGCATTTTCTTGTGCTGTAAAGATGTGGTAGGGTGATCAATGAAAGTCCTTCAATCAAAAAAAGGTATCCCATTGGGGGCCATATATAATCTTACTCTGTGTGGTTGGTAGAATTTCAAAAAGAAGAGGAATAATGTAAAGATTCTACTAAAGAAGGGGTTGTTGACATATTTTTTAAATCGATGACAGTAGGTTTCCAATCACTGTTCTGGTTGAGACAACTTTCATTGCTCTCTTTCAAGTTCACGAGCCCTTTCTTCTGCGATATATAATTCTGATGTTAACACCATCCAGCGTATTTCTCGTCTCAGACACGGTGTTTTATCTCCGTGTTATTGACTTGGATCCTTCAGAATTTACTCCATGTCTCTTCTTCGCCTGCTGCTGTTTCCTCTACCTTCTGGAGCTGTGGTTTTATCGATACTGTGGCTGTTTTAACATCCTGGTCCTACTAATCCTCACATCTGCCTCACGTCTGCATTTCTTTCTATTAGTTGTTGTTTTTCCCCCTCATTAGGTCTTATTTCCCTACTTGTTTGCATGCCTGGTCATTTTTGATTGAATGCCGGACATTGTGATTTTATATTGTTGGGGCTGAATTCTTTGTGTTCCTTTAAATATCTGAGCATTGTTCTGGGGCGCAGGTGAGCCACTTGGGAAGAGTTTGTTGCTTTTGAGGCTTTCCTTTCAGCTTTTCTGAGTCAGAAACGGAGCAGCTTTCAGCCTCGGCTAATGTGGCTCACTCTTGAGGTCACCCTTCTGGGGTCTGTCTCCGCTGCCTCAGGATCACAAGCCTTGAGGGGAATCTACCAGGCCACGCTGTGCCATGTGTTGTGGGGAGAGCAGGCCTGGACCAGGCGTTCCTTGGGGGACGTGCTCCCTCTGAACCCCAGTTTCTTCATCTGAAGAACCAGGTTTTGGCTGATGATCCTGAGAGTCTTTCCTGGAAATCTGGTGGTTACATGTCTCCATTTTTATTTTATTTTTAAAATTTATTTTATTTATTTATTATTTTTGGCTGTGTTGGGTCCTCGTTGCTGTGCACAGGCTTTCTCTAGTTGCGGTGAGCGGGGGCTACTCTTTGTTGCCGTGCGCGGGCTTCTCATTGCGGTGGTTTCTCTTGTTGCGGAGCATGGGCTCTAGGTGCGCGGGCTCAGTAGTTGTGGCTCGCAGGCTCTAGAGCACAAGCTCAGTAGTTGTGGCACACGGGCTCAGTAGTTGTGGCACACGGGCTCAGTAGTTGTGGCACACGGGCTTCAGTAGTTGTGGCACACGGGCTCAGTAGTTGTGGCTCGTGGGCTCTAGAGCACAGGCTCAGTAATTGTGGTGCACGGGCTTAGTTGCTCTGCAGCATGTGGGATCTTCCCGGACCAGGGCTCGAACCCATGTCCCCTGCACTGGCAGGCGGATTCTTAACCACTGCGCCACCAGGGAAGCCCACACGCCTCCATTTTTAAACGTGATTGGGCAGGTGATGGGTAGAAGCAAAGCTGTGTATAAACCTGGTTCTGTTGTTTTCAAAACTCTTGCGCTGCCACCTGGAAGACATGTACAGCGCTCAGTGGTTCACTTTGTAAAGTCATAGCTGCTGCCAGTTCTTGTGTCTCAGGAGGGACATCCAGGGGTTAATGTCAGGTAAGCCTTCCTCCCTGGACCAAATTAAAGCGCCTTATACAGCACGTGTTTTCCCCCAAGAGCCGTTCACTCAAGTGCGGGGGTGATGACCCTTTCCTCAAACAGGTGGGTGGTTTCTACAATCATTTAATGTCATGTCTGTCTTTGATCCTGAGACTTGAGCTGGAAAATTTCAAATCGTGCTTGTGATTTAAATTATAACTGAAATAGTCGTAAATACAAGTCCAAGATTTCCTTCTTTGCTCACAAAGTTGTGGCAGGCCTTCTGCCTCCAGGAAGACGGAGCAGACATGCTTCTCCTGTTCCTCCTGTCAAGACAAGAAAAACTCTGCACATTGGGTCTAAAACAAACATAAGGAGACTCTGAAAGGGGGCATGAAGGAGGCATCCGGCTAGGGTCCTCGAGACCCAAGAAGATACAGCGCGGAGAGCTCCCTGGGTTTCCTTGGCCTCGTACATTCCGGCGTTGGGAGTTGAAGAAGCCAAGTCAGACATACCAACAGGCACAGACAGAAACAGCCCCAAGAAAAGCCTGCTCTCTCTGACCAAAGGGCCAGCAGCAGAACAGCTGAGAACAGCCTAGCAGCAGACGTCTTACTGAAGAGGATGTACAGATGGCAAATGAGAACATGAAAAGACGTCACCAGTAGTGGTTAGGGAAATGCCTGTGAAAACCACCGTAAGACATAAATCGTACCAATGTTTTCTTAGGTCAATCTCCCAAGGCAGTAGAAATAAAAACAAAAATAAGCAAATGGGACCTGATCAAACTTACAAACTTGTGCACAGGAAGGGAAACCATAAGCAAAAGGAAAAGACAACCTATGGAATGGGAGAAAATGTTTGCAAATGACGCGAGCGACAAGGGCTTAGTTTCCAGAATATACAAACGGCACATACAACTCAACAGCAAAAGAACAAACAACCCAATCGGAAAACGGGCAAAACGCATCTCCCCATACCTGGCAAACAAATGCAGTATTGCCTCACGAATTGACTGCTTCTCTGAGGTACCTACCAGTGTATTTGGGGAGAAGCTTCGAGAGCAAGTTGAGGAGCGGCTGTCCTTCTATGAGACTGGAGAGATTCCACGAAAGAATCTGGATGTCATGAAGGAGGCAATGGTTCAGGCAGAGGAAGCGGCTGCCGAGATTACTAGGAAGCTGGAGACACAGGAGAAGAAACGCTTGAAGAAGGAGAAGAAAAGGCTGGCTGCGATGGCGGCGTCTTCAGAGAACAGCAGTAGGACCCCGGAGGAATGTGAGGGGACAATGAAAGACCCAAAAGGAAGCAAAAGCAAAAGCCCCAGGAAGCGCCTCAGGAGAATGGAATGGAAGACCCATCCGTCTCCTCCAAACCCAAAAAGAAAAATCTTTTTCCAAGGAGGAGTTGGTTAGTAGTGATCCTGAAGAGACAGCTGGCAGTGGAAGTCTCACCAAGAGGAAGAAATCTTCCCCCAAAGAGGAACCAGAGAGGGACCCTGAAGAGTCAGGACACAAGAGGGTCCCTGAGAAAAAGAGGAAATTCTCTTCCAAGGAGGAGCCCCTCAGCAGTGAACCCGAGGAGGCTGCTGCCAGCAAGAACCACAGCTCCAGGACAAAGAAAAAAGCTCTGGAAGCTCCTCCAGGAAGATGAGATGGACACTTCCCTAGTGGGGCACAACTTGCAGGGATATTTCCCAACCCATCCCCTATAGCCCAATAAAAATAAAAACAAAAACAACAACAAAAAAACAATGGGCAAAAGACCTGAATAGACATTCCTCCAAAGAAGACATACAGGTGGCCAATAGGCACATGAAAAGATGCTCAACGCCACTAATTATTAGAGAAATGCAGATCAAAACTACAATGAGGTGCCACCTCACACGGGTCAGCATGGCCATAATTAAAAAGTCTACAAATGACAAATGCTGGAGAGTGTGTGCAGAAAAAAGGAACTCTCCTACACTGTTGGTAAGAATGTAAATTAGTGTAGCCACTATGGAAAATAGTACGGAGGTTCCTCAGAAAACTAAAAACAGAACTACCATATGATCCAGCAATCCCACTCCTGGGCATATATCCGGACAAAACTATAATTCAAAAAGATACCTGCACCTCTGTGTTCATAGCAGCACTATTCACAATAGCCAAGACATGGAAACAACCTAAATGTCCATCAACGGATGGATAAAGAAGATGTGGTACATATATATAATGGAATATTACTCAGCCATAAAAAAATGAAATAATGCCATTTGCAGCAACATGGATGCAACTAGAGATCATCATACTGAGTGAAGTAAGTCAGACAGAGAAAGACAAACACCATCTGACGTCACTTATGTGTGGAATCTAAAATATGACACAAGTGAACCTATCTACAAAACAGAAGCAGACTCACAGACATAGAAAACAGATCTGTGGTTGCCAAGAGGGAAGTGGGTGGGGGAGGGATGGATTGGGAGTTAGGGATTAGCAGATGCAAACTCTTATATAGAGAATGGATAAACAGAAAAGTCCTACTATATAGCACAGGGAACTATATTCAATATCTTTGGATAAACCATAATGAAAAAGAATATAAAAAAAGAATGTATATGTATATGTATAACTGAGTCTCTTTGCTGTACACCTGAAACTAACACAACGTTGTAAAGCAACTCTACCTCATTAAAACAATAAAACCACAATGAGATACCACCTATCGGAATGGCTAAAATCAAAAATAGCAACACCAAATGCTGACGAGGATGCAGACAGACCAGATCCCTCACACGCTGGGGGCAGGAGTGTCAGATGGTGCGGCCCCTCTGGAAAGCAGTTTGCAGTTTCTTAAGTGACTAAACGTTCAACTGTGTACGATCCAGCAACTGTACTTCTAGGCATTTGTATCAGAGAAATGAAGACTTACGTTCACACAACAGTCTGCCCATGAATGTTTATGGCAGCCTTGTCCGTAATAACCCAAACTGGAAGCAGCCCAGGTGTCCTTCAGTGGGTGAGTGGATAACGCGACCACACTACGAGTGCTACGTACACAGCAGTAGAGACGAATGAACATGAACTCGACACATACAACTTGGATGGATCTCCAGAATTACGCTGAGTGAAAAAAGGTGATTCCAAAAGGTCACATACTATACGATTTCGTTTCTATAACATTCTTGAAATGACAAAATTATAGAAATGGAGAGCAGATTTGTGGTTGCCAGAGGCTAAGGAGGGGATAAAGGTTGGGTTTAAAAGGCAACAGGAGGGATCCTCGTGGAGAGAGCGTGTTCCGTAACCTGACATTTCCAAAATCAGTGTCCTGGTCATGATTCTTAGTTTCTCAAGATGCTTCCGTGGTGGGAACTGCACTGAGGGTACATGGGATCTGTATTAGTTCATATGGCTGCATCTGAATCTACAATCATCTTGAAGTTTATTTAAGAATAAGTCGTGGCACCTCTAGGAAAGTTCAGTGTTTTAACCCATTCACGGGTGAGTCAAAACTGCAGCCTTGAATCACACACATCTCCTTCCAACAAAAAGGGAAATGCATTGGATTCAGTCCTGTAAACTAGAAATGATGACTCACCATCAAATTTATAGATAAAAATACGAGTGTGTTGAGGTCACGGCAAAGATCTTGCGGCTGAACCACGGGCCTTGTGAGAAGAACCGGCATCTTCTCCACTGGAGGATCTTATCGTCTGTTGTGATGGTCACCGTGGTGGGAGCACAGATGTCCCACAGGCCCTGTAGAAGCACACACCACCCCCCCCGCCGATGCATCCAGTAGGATGCATGTCAGGTGGGTCGGCCATCTCACCAGGCACGGGTGGCCGCCCGCCTGGAGCCCCGTTTGGCTCTTCCTCTCCTATGGCCTGTCTTCACAGTAACCTCCTGCCACGTGAGGAGCGCTTGGGCTGAGGAGGGGACTCCTTACCCAGACGCTTCTCTCCCGGAGCTGGATTTCCTACACCTGATGATGGCCAAGAACAGGGTCTCTGCCCACCACATGGACTCCTGGGCACTTCCTCCTCCTGGAGAGCCTGGACCATGCTTTTGGGGGCTTGAGAATCATTTTCTAAAATATCTCTGGGAGGTCGTGTGCCTGGTAGCAGGACAGAGTGGGCAGGGAAAGGGGACCACCCTGGTCCGTTCAGCCCTAACTTCCCGGCCAGGTGGGCCGTGCCTGGTTCCTAGCGTTCTTCACAGCAGTTCCCACCAGAACCCGGAGGGAGGGTATTGGAAAGTTTCCTTTCCTTCCCTTCTTCCTTTTATCAAACACCACCACCCTATTTTCTGCAAACTCCATTTCCAGTCAGGGTTTGTGCAAGATCAACACACATTTGAATTCTTGGAGAATGTTGCAGTTAGAAATAACGGTTATAACCCAAACCCTCAATAATTCTAATCTCTCTTAGGAGATACATTAAAAACACCGTGCGTGTTTCTAAGGGTTGCTGTCAGTTTAGCACGAGATGAGCCCTTTCTTCACACGTCTGATTTGATTAGCAACAAAAGTCTTGCTGTTACAAGCGAAGGGCATTGCGGCAGAAGCCCACCAATCCCTGATGATTTCCGGGCCGTGTCCAGTAGGACGCATGTCATTCCTGGGAGGAAATGAAGCCAGTCAGATGCTCCTTCCTGTGAATTCGCAGAAAGCCGTCCCCAAACTGGGATGTGTCTGAAGTCGGTGCAGGAAGGCGAGTTGTTTCCGAGCGCAGCGTTGGGCGCACGCCGTGCGGGGTGTGACACCCAGACTTCCAGGTCAGAGAAGCACACCCGGAGCACCCCTCAGTTGCCCCCGGGCCTGCCGCCGGACTCGGCCGTTTTTCTCCTCCTTGTACCCTCGGACGGGATGCCTCTGCCTAGGGGACCCGGTGGCCTGACTTGAAGGTTTGCCAGAAAAGTCCCTTTGATGGGGTGCTGTGCGCGGCCGCCTCTCTGGGCCTTTTGCTGAGCCGAGAAAACCCTGTGCTGGGCAGTCGTGTCCTCCTTGGGGTCAGAGCAGGACGGCAGAGGCCTCCTTGCTGGGTGGGGGAGGAGAGGGGCTGCTGCCCTGTTTGCTCAGAGCTGTTCCGACCTCAGGACGAGAGATAGCGCGTGGGTAGGGGCTCAGGGTGCAGGAACTTGGGCGCTCGACCGAAGGCTGACGTGACTCGGCTCCCCGGGTCGTGTCCCGCAGGCACAGGCACTATGGCTGGTGTGGCTGCACTGGGGCTGCTCCGGGCCCTGGTCCCCACGAAGCTTCACGCTGTAGCCTCGTGCACGCCCCTTGGACTCCTGACCTCTGCCTCTGGCCCCTAGAAAAGTCTATTCAGCCTCAGCCTCTTTGCCCCGATAGCCCTTCGGAGGACCGTCTCCCGTCCTTCATCTGCGGGAAGGCCCCAGCATGCTCAGGGGTCCGCTGTTCCCAGGGTCGGCGATGGGAGGGCCAGGGGTGGAGGCCCTCCGGGCTTCTTGGCTAGGCAGCCCTCTGCCGCCGCCTGCACCTGCACCACCCTGCAGCCCCCGGAGCCCGTGCTACTCCCCAGCCCCACCCCCTTGAGGCCGGGCCCTGCTGGGGGCTTCCCCGCCTGCCCCATGCTCTCCCTGTTCCGCCCAAGCAAAACTCCTCTTTCTGGAGGTCTCCAGGCGTGGGTCAGAGTCTTTGATCAACACTTACATCCAGCCTTGCATGACCAGTTGACTTCCCTCTCTGGGGGATGTTGATGTTTTCCAAGAAAAATGAATTTTAATGGAAAAGGGGTCTCTTCAGGGCTCCTCCGGGGCCCACGGCTGGCCTGTCCCAGGGAGTAAAATGTGTCCGCTCTGAGCCATAGACCCTCGCCAGCCCTGCCGCCAGGCTCGCAGTGAGGTGAGGGTCCTGCCTGGGGAGGAAGGCGCCTGGAACCCGCACCCCAGCCCGGTCTGAGTGCCCCACAGCCTACACCCTGTGTGTCCGCCCCGCTGCCACTGGGGCCTGGACCTGTGCCCCCTCCTCCGGCCATTGGTCCCGTGGCCTGTACTTTGGAGGTCCCTGTGGAATGCGACAGGTGCCTCTGGCCCTCCCGCACCTTGGATTTCCGTGGAATTGACAAGATCAGAAGCATCAGGTACATCCTTTCTTCTCCGTAGATAAACCGCTTAACCCAGAAAGAGCCCATGTAAATATGACCAGCTTTGCAAGGTCAAAACCCCGTTATGACCCTGGCCGCTCACCCATCGCTGGGGCGTCACCCTGGCTGCGGTCTGCCTGTTGGCGGTTTCCTTCTACCCGCACGTCGGGGGCGGCGCACCAGCCCGGAGTCTCCACGTGGAGAAACGCTGGATGGAGGCCGGCAGGACGGGTGGGGGCCAGGCATACGGACCGGCTTCCCGTGGCGACTGATGCATGGTACAGACATGCTCGTGGACCGCGAGCTTTGTCTCCTCTCTCAACCCTCCCAACACAAAATGACTTATTCAGAGAGATCAGAACAGACCTCTTCTGCTTGTTTTATTACCTCCTTGGAGACCCCGAGACAGAGGCGGACAGACTGCACTATGGATCCGATAATTTAACAACTTCTGACCAAAGCGTGGCAAATGCGGTTGGTCTGGGTCTCAAGTGGGAGCTGGGTTGGTGCAGGGAGCATGAGAGGACTTGGTGAAATCCCCCACCCCCTCTCCTGCACCCCTGGGCTTCCCATGTAGGCACACGACACTCGTATTTGGGAGAGTCTGATTCAACGGCAAAGATTTAAGGCGCCCGGCACCACGACGCAGACTCCGATTACGGGAGCAGACTGACTTGAGGGTGCTTAAGTGAGTATCAGGCGGGCTGCAGCCTGGTCACCGCCCCACGCATGGCCGGTCGGACATCGCCCCTCCCCTTCCCACCAGCACCGCAGCTCCCAACCTTGAACTGAGCGGGCGGGAGGCCTGAGGCCTGACCCTGAGTCTGGGGGCGGTTCCACATCTGAGGTTCAGACAGCGTGGCTCCACGTGGAGGGGACGGCTCCGGCCCACCCGAGACCTGGTGGTAGGGCTGGCACAGCACTGCTCCGATCCCTCCAGAGGGCAGTGACGCTTCCTGGCAGGAGTGCCCACCCGACGGCCAGAGCATACAGGAGAGCCCGAGGCCTTCCGTGCGCTGGGCCCCGAGGCCACAGAGGGCTCCGTGGACGTTCGAGAGTGGCCACCCGGAGCTGTCAGAGCTGGGGCGGCGTGTGCAGGGCTGGCTGCGGCTCAGGGGTGGGGCTGCCTGGCGGGAAAGGAGAGCAGGTGCTGGGAGGGTGGGTCCTAGCGTGGGCGCCCCATCATGGGAGGTGGCCGAGAGGAAGGGGGGCAGGCAGTGGAGCCCCTGCGGATGTGTCTGCGTTTAGCAAGCTGCTCCAGTTTCCCCAAGGGAGGGACAGGCACGTCCCCCCCATCCCCACCCTGACCACCCGGCATCCAGTCTCCATGCAGGCGGCCCCGCCTGCTGCAACCTGTGACCACCATCCCTGCAGGATCCATGCTCAGCCCTTGGCCCGTCAGCTGCTGTGAGGGCCCCACCCTGGGTGGGCAGCTTGGGCTTCGCGGGCGGGCCCGAGGGTCTCAGCCAGGGAGGGAGAGCCCTTGGCAGAGAGCGGTGGGGCTGAGCCCTGGTGAATGCAGCCCCCGTGCGGATCCAGGCCCACGCTGGGCAGCCAGGGTGGTCACAAGGGCCCTGTCCAGTGGGTGCCCGTTGTGTCCTCCTCGGACGGCCCCGCCGCAGCCCCTCAGGCCTGTGCTCCCACTGGCTAATCACGGGCCTCCTCGGAAGAGAGCACAGCCCTGGCACGAGCCAGCTGAAGCCCCCGGCATCCCCGAGGTGGAGGGCTTCGCAGTGCTGGCCGAGACCTCACCACTCCCAAGGCCTCTGTCTTCCCTCCGTCCGCCCTTTCTTTCTCCCGGGGTGGCAGGAAGGACATGGAAGCATGTGTTACGTATGTAGCATCCGTGAGACTATGTGCTTTGTGGGTGTGGGTGTGTGTGTGGCGAAGCCACAGGGTGCAGAGAAGCACGTAACAGGGACCAGGGGACCCCGAAGCTGCCCGGGCACACGTGGCCTCCATGTCACGGGAGCCCCGTCTCCCTCTAATGTGGGCAGTGGTGCCCATGGGGAAGTATGGTGGCTCCATCTACCAAAGTGCTGACTCTCCAAAGGCTCAAAGCGGTTGCGTTCAGTACAAATAGGATGAGGGGGAGACCCCCATGCTGCTCCCCAGGAGTCGCCCTGAAAAGTGCCCCCGGAGGACGAGCATGGCCCAGGCAGAAGGAGGGGCCCTGGACGCCCTGCCTCGGGTGTGGGTGAGTGGGACCCCTCACGTGCTCCCAGTGGGCTCTGGGGAGATTTACTTTGTCCACACTCATTTCCATAAATAACGAGGTCAAGACACTTATCGAATTTGTGCCTAAATGGATGTTGGAGAAAACCGTGAACTTGCCTTTAGGGAGATGCCAGGCTGGGGCTGAAGATCCATTACTGCGTCGAAAGCTCTTGGTGCTGGGAGGCCAGGGCCAGGGTGGAGGCCGCTCAGCCCCTGGGGGTCTGAGCCAGCCAGAGCCTTCGGGAGGAAATAAAGGTGGACTGTGTTCTGGACCAGCCCGAGGCTGGGTGGGCGGGGCAGGGGTCTGGCTGGGGGCGGGGCACGGAGGGCCCCTCTGCTGCCGTCCAGTGGGGCGCCCCACCTCCGGCGTCTCCCTCAATATTACCTGGCCCTTGGTTACCTGTTAGATGGCTGGTGATGCTGCCTCTCTATCCAGGAACGGCCTGCAGAGCTTCATTTAAAAACAAGACCATTTTCAGAAAACATCGGGTAAATAGCAGTTGGCGAGGAGCTCAGCCAGTGAATCGCACAGGCGCTGGGAATTCACTGCGATGGCAGGACACGGGGAGGCGGGAGGGTAGGGCCGGGGGGCTGGGTCCTGGCACAGTTGCTCGTGAGACGGCGTGGAGAACAGGCTGGAGAGGGTCACGGCGGGGACGTAGGGAGGGTGGGGCTTGGTCCAGGGGAGTCGCTGTGAGACCGGGCCCGGGGACACTGCAGGGCAGCCATGGGGCCAGGTCCCTACTCACAGAAGGCTGAGGGCTGGCTGACGGCACGGCCTCCCACCCAGAGCTCCTGGCCAGTGGGTCCCAGTGGTCCCCCAGGACCTCCCAGACCAGGGCCTCCCAGACCAGGCCTTGAAGAGCCTCACCAGGTGGATGGGACCCGCTGTGCACCTCAGCATGGGTGTCTAAAGCACAGGATGGAGGCCTTGGGGGACACTGGGGGCACTCTTGTATCTCTCTGTGCAGGTGAGGAAACTGAGGCACGGGGTGTCGCAGGGAATGAGTGCAGAGCAGGACTCAGCCTGCCTCTGCTTTTTCATCCAGGCAAAGTTGGTGGATGCACCCATTTCCCACACTTGCGCTGGCGCTAGGACACAGGAGGAGGGAGGGGCGGCCCCAGGCCTGGGGGCAGCAGATTCGGGCACGGGGCTGGGTGATGGATGAGCTGGCCTGGGGCGGGGTGCTGGCACCCAGGGTGGCCCAGGGCACGTGCTCACCCGCTGAGTTGGCTCGGGCACCTGGGCTGAGGGTGTGACCCCTTCCGAGGTGAAGTTTGTAGGCCCCGTGGAGGGGCCCAGGGGTCCCAGCCGCCACTCCCTTTGGTGTTTCTAACCCACTGTTCCCATCAGGCTGCTGCACACCCTTGTATGAAAGACGGGCCTTAACTTTGGGTCCCCGGTGTCTTATTCCAAAGGGGCAAAGAGCAAACATTCATTAAGCGCTGGCCACATGTGAGGCAGGGGACTTGCTCTGGCTTTGGGGGGGTCCCCGTCAGGGGTGCTGTGCAGAGCGCAGAAGGCCCCTGCGGCCCGGGGCTGTGACCTGGCGGGCAGTCAGGAGCCAGCGCGGCCCCGCCCACCCTGCCCGCGGCGCCGAGCTCAGGCCTGCTCACCAGGTGTGCTTTCCCTGCAGGTGACTGAGAAAATGTAGCGGAGCCCAGCTCGGCGTGCACAGCCCAGCCCGGACGAGCGGCCCGCCCCGAGCGCTCCTCGGGCCACCCTCACCATGTCCAAGAAGGGCGCGGGCGGCCGAAGCAAGGGGGACAAGGCAGAGGTCCTCGCGGCGCTGCAGGCCGCCAACGAGGAGCTGCGGGCCAAGCTCACCGAGATCCAGATCGAGCTGCAGCAGGAGAAGAGCAAGGTGGGCCCCGCGCCCCCCCGCGCCCCCCCCCCCCCCCCCCCGCCTCGCCACGCCTTTCTGGGCCCCCAGGGCCTGCCCGGAGCGGGTGGAGCCAGGTCTCTGCAGATATGCCAGCCCAGGTGGTCCCCGGGTCCCAGCGGCTCTCAAGGCAGCTCGGGAGCACAGACAGCGCTGGGGAGGGGGCTCCAGATCCACAGGGGAGCGTGCGGACATGCCCTGACCCAGCGGGAGCAGCCCTGGTCCTCAGCGTGTGGGCCGAGGGGCCTTGTCCAACCACACCGTCCCTGGAACGGTGCCGCTTCCCCCTGAACTGGTCACAGTGGAATTTCACCCAAATATAACAACCCCAAAGCAAACAGCCAGGCCCTGGGCTCAAGGCTTCCAGGTGTTGGGAGGCAGCTCTCCTAACCGACCCACTTGGAAGCGTCAGTCCCAGACCCCAGCGGGCCCTACCTGGGCAGCCCTGTGATGACCCCCTGCCCCGACACCCAGCCCTCGCGGGTCCTTGCAGCCTGCAGGGAAGGCTGGGCTTGTGCTGCGGCTGAGGGGGTCCTGGTCAGAGGATGCCCTCCTCTCTCAGTGCCAGGCCAGGCCCGGGGGGCCGTCCCCTGACCCACGCTTCCCTCCCTCTCTGTCACCTCTGTCCTCTCCTCGCTCCCCACCCAGGAGCCACTAGGAAGTACATGGGCTCTTGGGAAGGAGATGGAAAGAAGAGAAAGTCTGCAGAGAGGGAGGCGTGGGGAGGGGAGAACACCAGGGCGGGCTTCTCTCCTGGAGGGTTTGAAAGGTCCCTGGCTGTGGTCTGGCCGGCGTAACGGCCCCTCAGCCTTGCCCTCCCGGGAGGCCCGGTCAGGGAGGGAGTCACGGGAGGCGGGGGCCAGCTGCTTCGCAACCTCCTGGTTAAATCACAAGAGGGATGGTATTTTGTGATGTGTGATGATTATAGGGAATTCAGACTTCATTGTTGGTAGATAAGTCGTTAGGACCCGGCCCCGCCCGTTCATTTACACATCAGCTTAGTAACAGCAGCACCATCTGAGCCACAAGCCTGAAAGACTACGTGCGTGGCCCGTTACAGAAAAAGCGTGCCGGCCGGTCCTGGTCACCTCCCTCCCTCCTAGGTCCCCTGCTCTGTGAAAGGGGACAGAGACAGCTCCGGGCGCAGGGCCTCCAGCATGGACACTAGAAGGCGGCTGTCACAGTGACCACGTGGCTGCTCCCGTGGCCAGGCCACCTCGCTGGGCCTGCAGGAGAGTCAGAGCCTGCTGAGTGCCCATGGTGAGGACCCAGGGAGTTGGAGAGCATCGGTGTCAGCACCTGCTCTGTGCCAGGTGGTCGCAGAGCCAGCAAGGACAGCCCAGGGGGCCCCGACACGCTGCCTGGCTGGAGCACGGGGCAAAGGCACGAACATCAGTGGCCTGGGATGGAGAGTTGTCGAGTTGTCCCCGGACGCAGAGAGCATCTGTTCTGCGCCCTAGAGGCACGTGGGCGCTCCAAGCATCTTGTCCTGACCAGACTGTAGGGGCTGCGAGGCCAAGCCTCGGACATCACTCTGGCCCTCCTCTTCCCCCGTTTGCGGATGAAAGAGAAGAGGGGCTGACTTGTTGGGAACCTAATGATAATGAAACCCTTTGTTTTATTGGGTAAAAATATAATAGCAATTGTCTTTTCAATGCAAAGAAACGCCGCGTGATAGAAATCACTAAGTAAGGGTACTTTTGCCGGAATCTCTTGATTCTGTCCACCATTTACAGCAGCATCGTACGTATTCCACGTGCAGCTTTTATCAAAACCCATCCATCCTGCGGCAGTCCAAGGGGGCGTGTGCCGGCCCCTGGCTGGCCAACAGCCCAAGTCTGGCCGGGTCGGAGCTCGCAGCTCTCCCTGGTGGCAGACAAGAGCCCTGGGCCTGGTGTCAGAGGCTCTGTTATTTATACAAGGTGTACTTACTGCCTTTTGAGAAGATGATATAACCTCTTGGTTCAACTCCAAAGGAAGAGAAGAAAAGGCCCAGCATCAGGGAGCCTCTGTTCTTTGGGTCCACACCCCAGGTCACCTCCCAGAGGGGTTCCAGTTACAGTTTCTTGAACGCACCTGTGTGTCTCTTTTTAAAGCATAAATGACACACGGTTCTGAGTCCCTTTTTCTTCTTCCCTTCACCGTGTGTCTGGGAGGCTGGAACTCTCGAGGGTTCCTTCATCCCACTCACATGGTCCAGCACATGCGGCAGCCCTGCGGTGAACACCCCTGTCTGCGTGTCCTGGACCACACGTGCAAGAGCGTGTGTGATTGCAGTGCGACAGTGACCACAGCAGGGCCCATGAGAGTGCAGGGGGCCCTTCAGGGAGGTGGACGCAGTTGGAAGCTCCAGGACTCAGATCCGCGTCGAATCCACCCTGGACTGGGTTTGCTGCCCGAGTGCGGGCTGCTCTGGCCGCACCAGCCTGTCAGCGTGCCTTCCTACAGGCACCCTCGTTGCCCCGGCTAGAAAAGGACTCATATCTTTTTTACCTCTGCTTGTGGTTCTTTCTAGTTAAGGCCCCTTAGGCTGTGGTTTCCAGACCTCACTGTGCATCAGAGTTTCCTGTGACTCTTGTTGAAAACACAAGACCCTAAAAGACAACCTCCTAAATGGGAGAAAATATTTGCAAATGTTATGAGCAATAAGGGGTTAATACCCAAAATATATAAACAGCTCGTACAACTCAACATCAAAAAAACACAACCTGATTTTTAAATGTGCAGAAGAACTGAATAGATGCTTTTCTAAAGAGGAAGTGCAGGTGGCCTACAAGCACATGAAAAGATGCTCAACATCTCTAATCCTAAGGGAAATCAAATCAAAGCCACAGTGAGACATCGCCTCGCACCTGTCAGAAAGGCCATCGTCAAAAAGGACACAAACAGCAAGTGTTGGTGAGGGTGTGGAGGAAAGGGACACTCGTGCACTGTTGGTACGAGAGCAAATTGTTGCAGCCACTGTGGAAAACAGTATTGATGTTCCTCAAAAAATTAGAAACAGAGCTGCGATATGACCCAGCAATCCCACTCCTGGGTATATATCTGAAAAAAAAACAACAAAAACACTAATTTGAAAAGACACATGCACCCCAATGTTCATAGCAGCATTATTTACAATTTCCAAGATATGGAGGAAACCTAAGTGTCCGTCAACAGACGAATGAATAAAGAAGATGTGGTACATATATGCACAATGGAATATTACTCAGCCATAAAAAAGAATGAAATTTTTCCATTTGCAGCAACATGGATAGACTTGGAAGGCATTATGCTAAGTGAAATAAGCCAGACAGAGAAAGAGAAATACCATTTGACATTACTTATATGTGAAGTCTAAAAAGTACAACAAACTAGTGAATATAACGAAAAAGAAGCAGACTTACAGATGTAGAGAACCAACTAGTGGTTACCAGTAGGGAGAGGGCAAAGGGGAGGGTCAGGATAGGGGTAGGGGATTAAGAAGTACAAACTAGGGCTTCCCTGGTGGCGCAGTGCTTGAGAGTCCGCCTGCCGATGCAGGGGACGTGGGTTCGTGCCCCGGTCCGGGAAGATCCCACATGCCGCGGAGCGGCTGGGCCCATGAGCCATGGCCGCTGAGCCTGCGCATCCGGAGCCTGTGCTCCGCAACGGGAGAGGCCACAACAGTGAGAGGCCCGCGTACCGAAAAAAAAAAAAAAAAAAAAAAAAAAAAAAAAGAAGTAGAAACTATTATGTATAACATAAATAAACGGCAAGGATATATTGTACAGCACAGGGAATATAGTCAATATTTTATAACTATAAATGGAATATAACCTTTAAAAATTGCAAATCACTGTGCTGTACACCTGTAACTTAGATAATATTGTACAGCAACCATACTTCAGTTGAAAAAGGAGAAGAGGGTTTCCCTGGTGGCGCAGTGGTTGAGAGTCTGCCTGCCGATGCAGGGGACACGGGTTCGTGCCCCGGTCCGGGAAGATCCCACGTGCCGCGGAGCAACTGGGCCCGTGAGCCGTGGCCACTGAGCCTGCGCATCTGGAGCCTGTGCTCCGCGATGGGAGAGGCCACAGCAGTGAGAGGCCCGCGTACCGCCGAAAAAAAAAAAAAAAAAAAAAAAAAGAGAAGAGAGGGAAAACCCCACAGGCCTATGGCCTCACCTTCTGCAGAACTGAGCTCTCCGAGCCCCGGCTGCTCTGAAGCCTCCACTTTGGGCTTCGCTGCCGAGAGCTACCTCCCCAGAGGGTAGCTGCCAGTCCCACTGGTCCTGCTGCCACCCCTGTCTTCTCCCCGGCCCTTCTGCCCCCCTCCCCCGCCTCCTGGCTGAGCTGGAGCGTGGGCTGGAGGCAACAGTGCCCCAGGGGCCGAGGCGGGATGTGCCATCCCAGGGAGCACTGGCTTTCCTGCAGAAAGACACACCCACGTGGTGTAGTAGGTAACGACCCCTCATTTCTCTGCTCAGCCTCCGGGCCTGTGGCCGGCCCAGAGCAGGTGCAGGGGGCAGTGGAAAGGAGCAGCAGGGGTACAGACAGACCAGGAACGCAGGCCCGGCCGCGAGACCTGAGGACGTTCTCTGAGCCCACGCATCATTATCTGCCACCGCCCGGCCTCCCGGCTCCCACTGGTGCGTCCCAGCCAGACCTGCACGTTCCCAGCCAAGCATCATCTAAAACATTCTAGATTTTTGTTTAATTGTATTTATTTATTTATTTTTGGCCGTGTTGGCTCTTCGCTGCTGCACGCGGGCTTCTCATTGCAGTGGCTTCTCTTGTTGCGGCGCGCAGGCTTCGGTAGTTGTGACTCACAGGCTTCAGTAGTTGTGGCACGTGGGCTCAGTAGTTGTGGCTCACGGGCTCTAGTGTGCAGGCTCAGTAGTTGTGGCTCACGGGCTCAGTAGTTGTGGTACACGGGCTTAGTTGTTGCACAGCATGTGGGATCTTCCTGGACCAGGGCTTGAACCCATGTGTCCCCTGCATTGGCAGGCGGATTCTTAACCACTG